GACTAAAATGTTACGTAATTCAATACTAAAAGAGAATATCATACGTGGCAATTGCAAAATAAAACAATAACAAGAAAGAACAAATTATGCACTTCATATTTACTTAGCAACTGATAATATGGAAAAATTAGTCTTTCCTCCCTCTCTAAAACCTCTCAAACTAGCCCAAGAAACCCAAGGATTCACAGGAAATTCGAGAACAGTTTCTAATATACAAATCAATGCAATCATATTTCAGCATTGGCGGTATGGCAATGCAGATTTCTGCCTGTCCACCATTAGAAAATTGTGAAGGATGGCCAGTTACGGCGGGGCCACAGGCCACAGTGGCGGACTTACAGCCTGCCACCATTTTCTGCCATCCACCATTCATAACACTGATACAAATCAGTTAAACACTAGGAACTAGCAGCTTATTAGCTTACAGGTCGTCTTAAGTAATCTTCTATTTAAACTGCAATATGCTACATCTACTACAGCAGACATGGAAACTTTCTTAAAACGAAATGCCAAAATTTGAAATAAGTGCAATGTTACGTATCAAGCAGCAGAGCCAGATTTACTTTATGAATTATGTTTTAAGTACTTAATAAGGCTTTCGTTTCATAGGGTAAAATTGCCCATTAGGGATAGGTCTGAGTTGTCTCTTTTGTTTAAGTTATGTTCTCGTTTATTTTCCAAATTAATAGTATCAATTATATACTTTTCGAATTCACATTATCTTGACTATTGACAAATGGCCTGGGTAGAACTCAAACAGTTAGCTCAAAGGAAGAGAGTACCCAACTCACACTTTTATGCAATAACAACTTAGTAACTAATCGATGTGGGACAAACATAACTTCTAACACTCGCTCTCCCGTGCAGCGCCAAACCAAATGAGTTGGGTCCAAAATCCAATATCACCTTCAAACATACAAAAATCGAGTGCTCTGATATCATGATATTTGGCCTAAGTAGAATTCATTCCCAAAAGCTAGATCAAAACAAAAGGGCGCCCAACCTATCCTTATACACAATAACCTAGTAACTAATCAATGTGGGACAAACATAACTTCTAACACACGCCCTTAGCCCGGCAGTCAGCCGAACCTAATGGGCTGGGTCTAAACCCAATCAAACAAACAAACAAAACCTGAGTGCTTTGATACCATGTCTAGGTAGAACTCATCCCAAGCTAGCTCAAAGGGAGAAGGTGCCCAACTTATAAACAATCATAACCTAGTAACTATAACTAATAGATATGGGATACACATAACTTCTAACAACTATGATACACACATGCTCACTCTCACACATCACTTATGAATCTGACACTTTACTACATGCCCTTCAACAGCCACATGCATATTAAAAAAATCATTGTGGTTTGACAAGTTCTAGTTGAGGTCAACAAGCAAACGAACAAACATGTTGTTTCTTTTTCATTTAAGATACTTAATGTTTCAAGAAAGAAATGTGATAATGATGGGAAAAAGGACGAACGATGATGATGAGTATAATAAAGGTAGGCAATGATGAAATCAGGATGCTGAGCTCATGCTAAACACATGTTGCTCGAGTTGTGTACTAAATCTTTACCCTGAAACACCTTTCCATTGATTTCAACCTCATATGACTCCATGACCTCTTGAATTGCAGCACCCACATCACACAAACGCACATCAATTCCAGCTTCCTGTTATAAAAAAAAGTAAGAATATTAACAACAATGGAATAATAAAATAAAACAAACCCCCACAAATCTAATATGCTGGAATAATTTCATTGCACAAAGTCATAACAACAACAACAACAACAATGACAAACAACAACAACAATAGAAGAAGAAGCAATGACGATGGTACCCACCTTTATACCCGTATTCGTAGCTTCACGTGAAGCTTCGAGCAGAGGATTGAACATTGGGTTGAATGCCACAGTGAACGCAGAATCCACTATATGACCTACAAATAATGGCAAATATGAAGTCAAACAATCACAAGGAAAAAAAAGAGTAGCAACAGTCTCCAAAATGTAGGACAACAACTAGTGGAAATGGATTACCATCAATATGAGTTCCAAAGTCCAGTTTCATCACATCATCATACTGAAGCACAGTTTTATCCCCTGTATTTGGAGTCCAATGGGCAGCAACCCTGTAGTAGAAAGAGCATAAAGAAGACAATAGAGAAGTGTGAAAACTTTTAAAAGAGTCGGGAAAAATAAAATAAAATAAAATGATGAAAGAACCGTCAATCAAAAACAAACTTCACCAGTTCAATGAGCAGCCTGTAGGAAATGCAATGCCAGCTTGCAAACCGTTCTCCGTTATTAACTTACGAACTGTATTCTCCAAGGTCTCACACAAGTCGGTCATCAACATTCCAGGTTTCAATATTTTCCTAATGTATTGTCGAACCTGTCAAGGATTACATGATAAAATTTTAGGAAGAATAAATGAAAACATAATTTGTTCAATATTAAGCCAAGTACATTGAGCATAAGTTCGATGCTACCTGACGGTGGACTTCTGCTGCTTGGCGAACTGCATTGTAAAGTGGTTTTTCCAGTCGCTCCAGTTCTCTCTTTTCCTCAGATGTAATTCTCCACAGGTTACTACATTGAACCATTAGTTATTTTCGGACTCCTCAGAATAAAATGTAAAGTGTTTTGACATGATTAATTCACACCTACTATGGGAAATAAAAAACATATTTTACTATATATGTACATAATCATTATAGGATGTATGGTAGTCAAATGACTTATCTATTTCTAAGACACAACTTAAAACGAAGGACATAAATCACGAAATGGGGAAATCTCCACCTACATATGTATTTGCAGCATTGCAGGCACTCAAATCTGTTAGGTGAAATGTTCAAGTATTTATGTACTTTTTATGCCAGAGATTAAAAAAAGTCGAGACGAGGCGAAATAGATGTAGCTTCCTGTATCATCCAATTTCTTTTATTTGCTATTGCATATATTTCTCTCTAGAATTACATTAGCTCTCTGAGAGAAATTTGAAGATAACTCTAATCAAAGGGATAAAACCTTTAAAAGTTATATGAGATGTCTCCAAGCATTAAATATATAAAGTATCTGAACCATTATGAAATATGTAATCGTTATTGACATACTCGTCTTTGTACTGCTGAATTTCACCCTCTGGAAACTCGCCAGATGCAAAAAGCTCAACAACAGGAATAGATGGCGGATCAGTCTGCTGAAGTGGTTCTTTTCTCTTCCTGAAAATTAGAAAGGACACTTGCTAGTGATTTTAAGTCAAATAAATGAAGTACAACGAGGAGAAGCTTGAAAAAAAAAATAAAAAAAAAAATTACTCACTTGCTTTTACTTTTCTTCTTCTTTTTCTTCTTTGCCGCTTCTAAAATGATCACATAGAGTAGTTGAAGAAGTTAGGAATAAGTACAGAAATGAACTTTCATGGAACAATTCCAAAGATCAATCACTAAAGTTAGAAATTGTACTAACTCAACTTAAAATGGTCAAGAATATGTATATATCAATGCAGCTGCGTGGTGAGCACATAGCAAACTTTTCTTTCGCCGTTTACTAAATACCGTTTGCTCTCCACACTTCAAAGAAAAAAAAAAAGGTATATGCATATATCAATCAGCAACACAACAAAATCATTGCCACTTCAAATTAAATTATGAATTTCATAATACACTGGCGGTTTAAAGAAAATTTTTACTAACAATTCAGATTGACAAAATTCTGAATATGAAGTGAAACAGAAAGCTGATTATCAAAAGTGGGGAATTAAAGGTTTGGGATCAATTAGGTTCCACTACAAAGGATTCTAGAAAGAGATCGTTTCTGGAGAAACAAACAAAACATGCTATACATTGTCTGAATATGAGGACAATAAGGTTACTGGTCCTCATGGTTGTGCAACGGTAATATATGAAGGATTTCTAGGTTATTAAGAGGAATCTAATGAAGGTCTCCCAGGAGTTCTATGAGAAAAGGGTGGTCCATAGAATCAACAATACAACAAACTTCTTTCTATTTTCCTAAAAAAAAGGAATTTTCGAAGACAGACGATGTTCGTCAGTCGGATTTTTCGTGTCACCAGTTTATATAGAACTAGCAGAAAAGTATTTCCTTTCACAAATCATTCTGGTATTATAGCTCTGCTACATAATGTATACACTCTTTCCAAGTACAAATTAAGCAAGAATGCAAGATCAAAACAAATATAGTAAAGGATGTTCATTGATCAAAACAAATTAAGCAAACAAGATACCAAAAATAAACTTCAGCAGTAACAGAACGGAAAAGAAAAAACAATCAAACCCTCAAGAAACTATGGAAACAGTTCCCATGAATAATAAGAACTACATAAGTAGACTGCATTAGCATGTGAAACGAGATAGTGGCTCGTATCTAATGGGGCAAATAGAGCAGCCATGGAGTTACCTCGGGGCTCGTCCAAAGCTAACTCGTCCAGTTCATCCTCAACCTCTCCCGACACAATCTTACTGGTTGACTCGCCGGGTCCGTTCGCGGCGTCCGCTGCTCCATCTTCCACACGGATTTCAGGGGAAATCTCTTTGTCGGCCATTTGGATCACGTATGCGCAATCGAGCAATTTAGAAAGGTCTCATTGATTTCAAGTTCAATATCGAAGAACCTTAACAATTTTAGTGTGCTCGCGGGTAGAATCCCAATCAGATGAAACCCAGCATGAACTCTACTATGGCAAGAAGTTTCAAAGTCTAAATACTATTCTTTTTTTTTTTTCTTTTTTTTTTTTGTACAAAGAAGAAGGCCGAAGCCTTACGCTATGTTTGGTTCAAATGAGGGGAAGAGAGGGGAGGGATTTTAATGAAAGGGAAGGGAGGGGAGGGGAGGTGATATAAAATGATTTTACTTTGTTTGGAGGGATTTTGTAGGTGGGGAATGAAGGGAAAATGGTTAACCTCATTTGGTTAAGAAAATGGAGGGAAAAAAAATATTGTAGAAATGACAGTTATACCCTTAATGATGTAAGAGATAAAAAATTAAAATATTCTACATATAAAGGACAAAAAAGTAATTTTACAACTTAAAATTTTCCCTCCCCTCCAAATTCCTCCACTTTTGGAGGGGAGCAAAATTGGGGGAGGGGAGGGATTTTGACTTAAAATTTCCCCTCCCCTCCCCTCCAAAATTACAAACCAAACAATGGAAAATTAAAATATCCCCTCCCCTCCCCTCCCCTCCAAATCCCTTCAACCAAACACTATGTTAGACTACAATATTGCGAGCGTACAAAACTCCTAAATTATCATGTTCTAACTACGGTTTAACCCCCGTGGGTGGATCGTCAAAGACGTGTAGTCCACTTGGCAATGTCGAGGCCAACGACGCCAAGGTAGTCTAAATACTATTCTAAGCAAGCAAAGATCTTTTTTATTTATTAAAGTCTAACAAATAGTTTTCTATTTAGTATGAATAAGTTCTCTTTAGTATCTAATAGACTTTAGTTAGGGAAATATTATATTCTGATGTCGGGTGCTTTAAGTGTTAGATCATATATCTTATACTAACTACATGTGTATTCAATGGTTAAAACTTTCAATGGGATGGTTCCAAAACGGGACCGAAGCATTTCTTCTTTAATTATATGAAGATGTTACTATTGTTGTTTTTGTTTTGGTAGGAGATTTCACTTTTAAGTAAAAGGGAAAGTTTATCAAGAAACATTAGACATAAAGAAATCAACTACCACTTATTAAGATATCGACCATATATTGGAGTTTAAAGAAAGAATAAATCGACTCCAAAAGAAAAAAAGATTGAACAGTTTTTACTTGAAGAGATTGTATATCTACCCCTACATAAAGATTGAATTCTCAAACCAATATAGTGAGTACTTACCAAACCAAATCTGCTGGTAAGTAAAGTGCTTAAGAACAAGTATTTTCCCAAGTGTTCTATTCTTCAAGCCTCTAGAACTGTCTGCATCTTCGCTTTAGTCTAACTGGTTGAAGGTTGTTGATAAGTACAGACAGTTCTTTAAGGTTGAGATTGGAGATGGAGCTTCAACATTTGGGAAGATCCTTGGTTGTGTCGTTACTCGTTACTAGTAGTGGTATGAGTGATCTTATCAGGAGAAATGATACTCATCTGATGTGGGTAGGGGTGAGCGTGGGTCAGTACAGTTTGGAGATTGACAAATCTCCAGAACTGTACCAAAATTTGGAGATCCCCAAAATTCGATCTCCATAATTGTACCAAAAGTCGGTTCGATTCGGTTCGGAGATTTTTATTTTTCGGTTCGGTTCGTTTCGGTATTCAAGACTATTGTGACGGTTCGGTTCGGTATGGTTTGGTTCGGATCTTCAGAGATTTTTTTTTTTTTAAATTATTTTCGAATGACTACCTAGTCATATTTTAATTTTTATATGCGTTGAAAAAACAACATTCATCAATAATTCATCATATTGAAGATTTTATTTTGAAATCAATTCTAGAAGTAACTCTAAATTTTAGTTATTTAATTTTTATATGCTTTAATAAAACCAACATTCATCAGTACTTTCTCACATTAAGATTTTGAAATCAACTTTATAAGTAACTATAAATTTTAGTTATAACTAAATTTTTGCAACTAATATTGAATATTTAAAATTTAAATAAAATATAATATTTTTTTCTTAAAAAATATTCTTTAAACTTTCATAATATTTTAAATAATTATTTTTTAATAGAAAAAATTCAATTGTAGATCAAGTATTACTAAGCATGAAATTTAAGTGAAGGTTATATTTATTACTATATTATATAGAATCAAAGTTTACATAAAATATATTAATAACACATCTAATGTTATAATTCGGTTCTTAATTTTGGTTCTTCGATTCGGTATAGTACGAGACGGTTCGGTTCGGTTCTCGGTACGGATATTTGTGAAATCTACAGAACCGTACCAATTATTTTTTTGGTTCCGTTCGGTTTTGAGAAAGTCAAATGGTCAACGGTTATTTTTCGATTTGGAGTGATTTCGGTTCGGTTTTAGGAATTGTGTTGCAACATTCACGTTTCATCATCATTGTAACATGAGTTTTTGCTTACATGCATGTTTTTATTTCATATTTTTTCATTCATAATTGCATTATTGTTGCATAAACGGTGTATTTATTGGAGGCATGAATTGTGATGGTACATTTTTTACTTGATAAATTGATTGTGGTTCTAAATTTATTTGCCCTTAAAGAGAAAAAAAAATGCACGTTTGAGACTTTGAAGGGAAAGAACTACCAACTCCATAAGAGTGCAGCTAATTCTAGTGACCCAATTCTTCTATAACTAAAAATATACTAGAAAGAAGGCTACCTTTGGTTTAGTGTGAAAGTTTATTAGTTACACAGGCTAAGATGATGGAGTGCCATTCTTTCAATCTACGTAAATGTGTTAAAGGAATCATTATTTCTTTCGTGTTCAATGGGCTCGCCCAGGGCCGGTTGTGGTCTCATGATTATTCCACACATACATATAAATACCATTTTTCCTGTACTTTTCCAACCCCTTCATCTTCCTCACACAACCTCCAACCAACTCACAAAAGATCAAGGTAAAAATTCGTTCTCTTTTCTTGTACAATCCAAACCATATGAACATTAAAAGCCACAACACAAATTCAATACCACAATCCTTTGCTCACCAAACAACTACATAATGATAGAGCAAACCAAAATGAAAACTAAGGAATTGATCAACCTTGTGTCGTCGAGAAACAGTTTTCAGCCCTCACTCGAACTTTGCGAACGCGGTTGCTTGTCGCACCACCAACCCTGCAAGTTGTAGCCGCCTGATGAAGATCGTGTAATGCTCGGTTTTATTTTAAAGGATACGATGACCGCCTCATTCTCGGCGATAGATTGTGGACAGCTTGGATTTTACTTTCTCATGATTTTGAGACAATTCGGATTTGCCAAACTCGAGCTTATGATGAACTATGCAATGAAACGCCTTTTTTGGCACAAAAAATTTGCGATAAAACTTTAAGAATTCTAACATATGAGATTGGACCAATGGTTGATTTTTCATTATTTTATTCCTTGAAAAATAATTATGAATACATAGATTTATTTATAGGAGAGATATACTATCATATGGGAAATAAAATACTAATCCTATGAGGAATCAAATTTTAATCCTAAGGAAATAATAAATCTGCAATCCTAAGAATTACAAAATAACTAATGTGGCACATGCCATTAAAGGTAAAGCATCTAAACCTACTAGGAATAATTAACTAATAAAGTAGATATGCAATCTTGAAAATTTCCCTTCTAAAAAGTCCAACTTGCGCCCCAAGTCATGCTTTTCAGCTTGCTGCTCATGCCAGACCTAGGCATGCTTGGGTCTGTAGTCAACTAAACAAGTGTTTCATCAAAGTCCTTAACAACATCCTCAACCACTGCCCGAACATGCATCAATCTTTGATTTTCAGAACCATCAAAGGAGATAAGTAGTCAACTGAATCCTATCCTGTGATATAGCCTTCTTGTCCACTGAACAAGTGTTTCCCCACCAGAGCCTAAAATTATTCAAGTCTGCAAATGGGTTGTCCCAACTCACATGAGCTAATTTCCAAAGGAACTTTTTTTCTCTTATTCTCATTTGGCGCGTTGCCTTAGTCTACTAGTGATTTTCACTTGAAGACTAAATTTTAATCTTTCATGTTTATTTATTTTCTTTGTATGTTTGGAATTTCAACTTTGTGCGAAAATCAATAAATTTGGGTACCTATAATTCTAACAAAATAAGATCAGAGCATGTCATTTAATTTAATAAGTTTTCATACTGGGATGTAGTTTACGGGATTGTTGTTTCCCTCACTTGCTTTGAACCGGCGAAAGTCATCTTACGAGAAGATGAAATATCATAAATTGAAGGAATCTTTAGTTGAGTATGAACCTGAAACTGCCTACGGCACAGGTTTTTTTGATAATCGTGGACGAATCGAGGCCTAGAAACATTGATCCGGCAGGTGTCGTTCAATGTGTCATGACACATGACATGTATGATAATTTATATTCTGATTTTTTCTGCTTTAACACTATTTTTTCTAATTTTTTAGTAAAGATATGGGTCCTCCGGACAACTTCAATATTTAAATCTTGAAAAACATGAAAAGGTGTACAAGAATCTCTACAACCATTGTAGAGATGGTGTCTTTAATGCAAACAGGCTCGAGAGCAAGAATAAGAGAAAAAAATGAGAATAAGAGGTTGAGCTCGGAAATGGAAAATTTGGACGAAGAGAAATGTCCACTGTTACACAATTGGAAGTAAACATTTCAAAACATGATGAGAGGATGACAAAGGTAAAAGAGGAACTTGAGTACTCTCGTTAAATTTATCAACTTTTAAACTCCGATGAGAGTAAACTTGATGTCCTGGCTGCTATTGAAAGCAATCATAATAAAAACGGGACTTGGAAATGAATTTCCCACGTTTGTGCATTCATCGGTGGAAACATGTGGGTCAGTTTCAAACTCCATGCCTAAGGTTTCTAAAAATACTGAACAACAAAGGTGTCGAGATGTTTGCCATTATTGTCATGCACCGAGGC